CTCTGCGTGTACGTTTATGAATCAGAAATAGTTGAGATACGATATTTTATGAAGAAATTAATGCCGCTTACGTTAAGAGAATTATGTTTGCACGATCCGACCCATATGGTGGCCAGCGATTTGAAAAGCGATGAATTCCGGAAGTTACATTTTAAGGTAATTTTTCGACTTATGAAGGTTTCTAAATTTCTTACTTTGACTTTTTATTGTGCATCCATGCAAACAATGAATCAAAACTGTTAACGAAAAAAATTTGACATCCAATGCACAAGTCTAATTTATGTCATAAACTATTCAGATCTTGAATTTTCCAAAAACGAATGTTAAAAATGATTAAAATAGAAGAACGAGGAGATGATCAGAGGGGTAAGGGTTGGGAGGTTAGGAAGGGGAATCAGAACTAGTTCCAAGCAGTCATTTTATTTCATCAGAGCAATTAGCCAGAAAGTTCAAACTGTTCATCTCACATTAGCAATTTATCATTCCGTCTTTTGGGGGGGGAGGGGAAGAAATTTCGAGAAGGCCGTATTCATTTTTTTACGTGCGATCACCATGCACTTCCTTATAACTGTAACACTCGATCGGGTAATGTGATGACCTCTTTTTTTTGAAATTTATCGATCCAATACTTGAAAATTGAAAGTGATTTGAGTGAGAATGCTAGAATTAGCACTTCTCCATTAGTGATGAAAAAAGCTGGTAGCAATATATCTGCGATGACTAACTGCTTAGCTAGAATTTCTTAGTAATAATCGCTATGTTTTTACCGCCAAAAGTGCTACAATTGGACAATTTTCCACAGTACTATTTCTCATCATATATTATTGCAATATTAGACGTAAAATGATCGCACAATCAAGATGTAAACGAAACAAAACGGATTACACAACAGATACGAATCGAAATAGAAGAAAAGTGTGATGCGCTTCCTCTTATATACTACGGTGGAACAAATGAAGCGCTCTTACACTGATAGTCACCAAACAGTAAACACCGCTCCTTCATACCCTGAGACGAAATTATGAAACTGGTACTGAGCAAATCAATCCAATCCCATCACCTCTCTTTATGCAACACAATTTCACCAGCGGAAGACAGGCGATTAATTTCTTTGATAGTGCCCAGAAAGCCCGACAGATTGAGAATGACGGGGTAATCTGTTTCGAGAGCAAATAATACAGGATAGGGGAATTGTTGTCATGTTGTGCTTCACACTGCACTACACACGCCGAACGCAGAAGAAATAAGACGTCGAACTGAGGGACAGAGTGACTGACCCTGGTCATAGTATTTCCATGAAACAACTTTAGCAGAAAACTTCCGAATCAAATTTAAACTTTCAAGTTTCAAAATTAATTTCGGAATCATCAAATAACTGTGAACATCGCCATACATTTCTGTTAACCTATCAGCCTTATTCAGCCAAGCATTACGGTTGCTTTATAGGACAGATTCTACGATCAGTAAATATATCACGAATATGCGCTACAGTTTACAACAGAATGGAGGCTAGACTGGCAAAGCAGATGGAAAATAGACGAACAAGGTAGCAGGACAGAAGGGATAATAAAGGAGGCATTGAGTATTAGATGGCACTATCCAATTGTATACGTCAAGATAAAGTGAATGAAAGTATTGGCCTATTATAGAGGAGCTTCTGGCCAGTTCGAATCTCTGTTTTCACGTATACTGCTTCGCATCACGTACGTATAACCTTTACGTGTACCATTCATTGTGTCCATACCAGCTGATGTATACGTCGTAAGGTTGTAACGTTTTAGACATAAAAAATTAGTTGCATGTGCAATGTTCTTGCAAAGAGTACTAGAAGGATAACTTTCAGATTGGACTAGTGTGCAAATTGGTTCGTTTAAATCAATCGAAATTTCAGAGTGATAGTCGATGTCTTATATACTGATTCAATTTGAATATGGCTTTGAGTAAATGATAGTAGTATTTCTTAACTAGGGTGGGGTTTTATCGGTTTATTTTCTGAGACTTTACTTTTGAATATAAAATCAGCAAAACTGCAATGGCATTTGTCATCCTGCTGAATTGCTTGCCAATAAAAAGCAATCACACTTTGATTTGAAAACAGAAATTAAAAGTGCGGATAATTTTTGAGAAAGTGCAATGACCGCGGCAGGACGATAGTTAAACGATATAGAGTGACCTGTTTGTTCATTCGGACAGAGTAAATGTAAATTGGCGAGGTATATATTAATGACTTGACAAAGGTGCACAACGCACCCAAAGGGAGAGAGAAAAAGAGGACGGAGGTTGAGTGAATGAGCATCAATCACAGACATTTGTATTCAAACTCCAACTGATATCTTCTAGATCATATCTCTGACTCTGGCAGTCCATTCCATAGTAGGTTAATTCGACAAGTAGCACCTGCTCCATTTGACTTCTTAAATTCAAAGGTGGCGGAATTAAGATTTTTCAAAAATAAAATCATAGCGACATAGTGAGGTACATTAACCAGAAGCTTGTCGACTTACTTCAATTTTAGAAATTCATTTCACATTGTGGACAAGATTAGATTATCAGCAGGGATGACAAAGGAGAAGAGATAATTGTATGGATGGACTTGAAATAAGAACAGATAGTGTCGATGAAGCCGATGTTTTACCTAGAATTTAAAATATTTCTCAGATAAACTCATTAATTTATTACACGGAATTAACAAAATAAATATTTCAACACCAGAAGTGATAAATCATCCATCTAAATCCAACTCTTCCAACTTTTTTTGGTTAGGCTTGATGGCAATTTTAATGTTGCAGAGAAAGCCCTTTATTGTGAAATTCTGCAATGTGTATGGAATGTTAAACCATCCCGATCATAAAAGGAGCTATCATTCCAGACAGAAAAAAATGAGCCAGAAATGAAGAAAAGGAATGTGCGCATTTCATTTCTTGTTAATATTACCTTTAAAACAATTTCGTCATCTAAGAAATTCTAAGACTTATCAGAAGTAAATCTTAACCCCAAAGGAAAAAGATTTTTGATCATATTAATCGAGTGGTAGAGGAATTGAAGAATTGACAGTGCAAATTGGGACGTTTGTCGTCACCGTGTACTACGTTGAACATTGCTATGCTCAAACTTCCATATCACTTTTTCTCCAAAATATACTCTACTTTCCCTCTATGTAACAGTAATATAACTCCAATTTAACAATACTTGAAATAAATTTATTAATTGAAAACACACGAAACACCACATTATATAAGTTAATTTGATCCAGAATAATATCAATTTGTTAATATTATTCTTAAGTCCACCTGTACATCTATACAAATTAACATATGAATTTCGACATATTAAGCTGAAAAACGAAAAAATTCGCTCCGTCTCAACCTTAGAGGAAAAAGATTTTTGATCATGTTAATGAGATCCGAACCACATTATACTAAACTAAATGATTTCCGGTGGGTGGCACTGAAGAACAGAGGCTTGCTATTGATTAGGAGTTGTT